TTTATTTTTTACCTGTTTAATTCTTGAGTTCGATTCACCATTCTATTGGCGTTATCAAGCTGCATTTTTGTCAGCAATAGCAAAGATTTCGGACATAGCATTTTCGAGTTATACGAATTTCTGGAACACATAAGATTTAATAATTTCATTTTTTTTGTCATGGAAAATATTTTTATCATAAGACTGTCACCTGTATGTTTCCGCATTGCACTATCTCCTTATTTAAAAGATCTTTGTTATGTCGACGCCATTCGCCTTCGCTATATCTTGTGATGGAATACTGATCCCAATTGGACGAGTTCCGGTCATTCCCGCCAAAGGACCCCAATCTACCCTACCAGTAGCCCAAGGACCTAGAAATCAGAAGAGGTTTGAAGTTATAAACAGTGCAAGATTTTTCTGGTTCCAAAGTATATTTTACTACGGCGATTTAGGAAAGTGCTCGATCAAATTATATTCCGATAGGTCCCATAGCATGGTCCTTTTTAGCGGGCATATAATCGTCTGCTTTCGGCATGTAGCATGCTCTCTCATCTCGTTTTGGGGCTCCTACTGCAGTGCCATCAAGGGCCATGCCATCCGCTTTAACCTGGGGGCAAGGGTCAATACCACGCTGATTCCGGTTTACCGTTAATTCGTCTCCTGGTACAGCCGGAGAGCAGTCGGTTATAGGCTCTATTTCTGATTGGTCATAGTTGATCTGAAGGAAAACGATAATTAAATTGAGTTTTTGGAATTCTTAAATGTAATATTACATAATAGATTAAATAATCAATTCACATTATAGTTATTATATCGAACGCATAATAACAGTTACGTAAAACCAATTAATGCTGTATTTAAAGTATAATATAAACGAATTTTATCTATTTGGGTATCCATATATGGATCTATAGATTTATAGATTTGTAGCGCCTTAACAGAAATAGTTCTATGCAAGGAGGCATTGTTGCTGCTATTATTTTATATATAATTAGCAATTTGTGCATAATTTAAACAGGTCAATCTCTAATGCTGTCTATTTTATACAATAATAAAAATACTTATTTTTAATTTAATCATCTTATTTGGGTTTGAATTAGTACTAAACAGAATCGCGGGTTAAAGAAGATCCCTTCCAAAGTCTCCAATGTTATGTAGCAATAACATTGTCAAAAACGTTTTATTTTTGCCTCTCATAAATATTTACAAAAAAACAGCAGAAAATATTGCAAAAATTGATGTAAATACAT